GAGGCCGGATAACCGGATAAGAGAAAACTATTTTTGCATTCAAAACTGCAGAGGACACATTGGTACGTATTGGGGTGTCTGAGTGTGCCTTGCAGAGGCGGGGCCGAGTGGGCTGGCATGTGACATCACAGAGTCTGTGAGCTGCGGCCAACAACAGCTCTTGCATGAGTGCTCATCGTGTTTTGTTTTTACCCTCTGCATGGAATCGTCTGAATACAAATGCTGCAGCAATACATGTAGACAAACACCAAAACAATACTTGTAAGCACGTTTTATTGTTAACCATTTTATTTTTTTTTCCATTCGTTTTGTCGACTATATTGGATTTTATCTACCTTCTATTAAGCCTCCTGTGGGCAAATGTTGAAGATTAATGTTACAGCAGTTTACTGAGCAATTGTGACGTGGCACCACTGTAAACTTGCTCGAAAGAAGCAAAGGCAACGTACGTCTCTTTCTGAGAAAGGCGACACCACCACACATCCCAAAAAGGCCTTTGAAACCAGAGCGCTCACCCGACACGTCGAGTGGCGGCGAAGGTTAGGACGACAACAACCCGACACCGAGAAGATCACGCGCTGTCAAGTGGAAATGGTTGGAGATGCTTGTGTTGACAACACGTGTGTGTTTCGATGTGTGAGTGTGGTGTGTGTGTGCCGAGGTCAAGAGGGAGCACGCTCCGGAGGAACAGATGTGCGCCGCATTGTGGTGCTTGTGCATGGACGGACGGGGACCAGGTGCGGCCTTTGTCTGCTTGGCATTTAAGTCCACTCGCTCGCATTCAGTCGCCCTCGTGCCTCGCGACAATCTCCCCCTCCAACCCCCTCCCAGCCTTCCATGTGCTCACAATCGCTCACTAAGAGGGCGGGGTCACTAGGGTGAGAGGGGGGTTTGGCTCATTGGAGCATCCCCCTGCCCCCAACCCTCCACGTCTCCCTTCACAGGTGACTGTTGGAGGTCCCAGCTGGCCATCGCTCTTGGCACATTACATCCATATTGTGCAGTCCAACAGTTCATCAGGGCCACGCTGAGGCTGTTGATTCCTCTTGTTCCACTTCGGCAGTTTCGACGGGGTTTACTTTACGTCAGGTCCGGGTCAAAGACCCTGCTGGTCACAAACTGGCCATCGCATCATATCACAGGAGCACCTTTTCAGAAGGTGCAGTCGTGCTGCCTCGCGCTAAGACTGGAGAAGTTTTGTTGGTTTGGTGTGAGCAGGGAGAGGCAGATGGAGAGCAGGCGCGGGGTAGGTTCAGGAACAAGGGTAGAAAATACTGTTTTCATTTGGTTTCATCAGAAAGACAAGCATGGCTGTCAGACTCTAAGCCAGGCTGTTTTTCTTGGCTCCGGCAACCGCCTTCCTGCGCCATCGACTACATATTTGGCGCAAGCCCAACGTCAACACGACACTCTCTACGCTCAGGCCCAGGGAGGGGCATGAGGCGGCCTTGCGGCACGGCCGAGATATTTAAAGGTGAGAAAAGTATCGGGCTGTGCCAGAGGATAAGAAATCAAAGAGGGAGTAGGGGAGGATAAAGACAAAGTCAGGTGAAGGACAATAAGTCAGGATAAAAATGTTGGTGCGACTTCCATGTGAGAAAGCACAGATGTGGTCCTGGAGCGAGAAGAAGCCCTCGCGTAACCTCGTCGCTCGGTGGGATGATTAGAAAAACACAGCTGTAATGCAGCATGCCGTGTATTGTGGAAAGAAAAGGAACCGAGGGATGGAATTGTACTTAGTGGGAGAGGAACTGCGAGAGGCCATTGGAGAGGCACACAGACGTTATCCATTAAACTAAAAAAAAAAAGAAAAAAAAAAAGTGGGGAGCGGGGAAGCAAAAGAAGCACAGTGATGTTCTGGAAGCAGGGGAGGATTGCACGGTGTTGCACATGAGGTCAGGCGGTGCGGGAAGAAGAGCTGGTAGGGAATGTATTTTGGTTAGCCATGGTACGGTTACAAAAGGTAAACCCCAATACGGTTTAAGAATTCTGTCCACCAACTGATGGACTTGACATGTGTTTGGTACAGTTTATTAGATATTACAACCAGGACCACAGGAAGAACAAAACCGGTTTAAGCCTATAAGTGAAAATTAAATGGCTCTTCTGACACTGTAGCAATTGAATGCCCGTTGTGGTGCTCTTTCTGGTGTGCCCGCCTTGGCCGACTGGTGGCAAATAAACAGATATACCGTTCGCTGGGACATCTCAACTCCTCTCTCGGCTCATCAGTACAACACTCATATGTCAGAAACTAGCAATTGAATGCCCGTTGTGGTGCTCTTTCTGGTGTGCCCGCCTTGGCCGACTGGTGGCAAATAAACAGATATACCGTTCGCTGGGACATCTCAACTCCTCTCTCGGCTCATCAGTACAACACTCATATGTCATTCTGTGCAGATGCTAAAAAATATATGACTGTGATTCCTGTTGTGTTGTCTGTTCAATGTTTGTGTTTAATTCAGTGCTTAAAACGGTTAAAGCACCGCAGCATAGCTTTTATTTAGCATTCGTATTATGCTAGCAAGAGGAGAGGCCAAGGTACGTCGTGGTTTTAAATGCCCAAGGCATAATTCTTTTTGTTTTATGTTTAATTTGACAGTAAACATCAACTGGAGTGACAATAAACAGCTTGAAGCTTCTTTAAAAAACAACAACAAAATAATCACTGTGTCTACCAAACCGCTGTTTGCTGCGTAGCGATTTATGGGACTGCCAACATACAGCGTTTGGAATCTATGCAAAAATCTGTCAAATGATGGCGCAAATCTCGAAAAACTTGAAATCCGAGTCACTTGCATTTCAAGGCAGCATTGTATGTTGACGTGATAAATATCGCTGGGAAAAGCCTCACATCTCTGTACATCGGGGGGGGGGAGTTTTTCCCAAAATCAAATCACGCATTTATTTGAAGGGTAAAGTAAGCCTGTAAATCTAGTTTCTAAGACTCCAGAGGTTCTTTTCTGCGCAAGAAAGAAAAAAAGTCAAACGAGCAAACCAACTGAACCAGAACAACAGCATGCAGTTCCCTGGAAAGACATTTTCGAGTTTGACACTCGCTTTTCTTAACTGATTGGTTCTACTGAAATTGGGGATCGTGGATCTGTGGTGGATGATCCATCACCGCATCATTACTAAGTTTGGGGAAAAACTTTCATGCTATTGGCAAAAGGAGAAAATGGAAAGGAGCACGATGGAGAAGTCGTTGGCATCACTGCCAAACAGTTGAGAGGCTCTGCTGGGTACAAATCTCAAATTTACACACTCTACCAATCCTCTAAATTGTCGAAAGGTGTGAATATGAGCATGAATGCCTGTTTGTCTAATTTTCCTCTGTGATTTGACAGGCAGTCAGTTCTGATTGGACCTCGTTTCTCTCGCCAAACGCCGCAGAGTATCGACTCAAGGTGACGTCCTGATGAGAAAAGAGAAAATGGATGACTGGAAATCTGGGAATGGAAAGTTGCATCTTGAACCAGATTATCAATCACTTCTCGATCTGTCAGCAACCATCCAATCAGAGATATTAGAAGACTTCTGGCTCGGGATTTGGGCAGTGGCAGTAAATTTAACGCGCGTGTGTGTGTTGTGCGTTTGTGTTGGCCACACACACCTGGTGTGTGTGCTGTCTTTGTCTCTCTCTCACACACACACACACACACACACACACACACACACACACACACACACACACCTGTGAAATGGCCAGCAGACACCCACGCAAGCAACAACTGTGACATAACAAGGACAATTCAAAGCTGCCAATCATCACACACACACACACACACACACACACACACACACACACACACACACACACACACACACACACACACACACACACACACACACACACACACACACACACACACACACACACACACACACACACACACACACACAGAGGCTAATGGATTAAATGACTATCTAGTTACAAGCCTTCTCACCTCTCCGGAGCTAACTGGTTATCCTGCCTGTCAATTATCATTCCCGTGAGCCAGCAACCGAAAGTGGAAACGTAGACATTCTTTTCCCACAGAAAAATGAACATGAAGTGCATTCCGGTGCATTTTTAAAATCAGATAATCCATTTAAACCAAAAAACATAATCCCACACACAATACAGATAATCCAAAGTAGTTCATAAAGCAGAACAGAAAACGTAGTGACCGACCTAGATCAGTCCATGTGTCAGGGGACTACACAGTCCCGGAATTGGGGGCAGACCAGATGTTGCCATCACCACGTGGGTCACGCTGAAGGTGTTTACTCAAAACTCTTCTGACCCACTTCACATCACAAGACCTCTGATTTCTTTTTTCGACATTCATCCAGGCCAACGATTGTGGGCAGAAGCCTCCCGCTTGGAGGACAAAACTGAAAACTTGAGGCCGAGCTTTAGGTAACACGGCCCCTCGGCGAACAGACGGGTGGGCGAGCGGAGCCCAGCTGTACGCCGCTGGGAAAGACAGACAAGTGAAACAAAGAGGCCAGCTGTGCTCCGGAAAATTAGGGAGGGGAAAAACGATACAGCTGTGAAGGATGAGCATGAACGTGAGGGATGTGCGTGTGTGTGCTATCGACATACGTGCACCCTGTGAGCATTTCACTGTTAAAGAATACGGGTGTTCATTTTTGGGGGAAGGAAATCATGGTGACTGATAAATATTAAAATAAATATATGCATATAAATACCTAAAGTAAATATATATATACATACATATATACACACACACACACACACATATATACACATACATACATATACATATATATATATAGACTTAAACTCTTGCGAAACACACACACACACACACACACACACACACACACACGCACACACACACACGCACACACACACACACAGTCTGTCCTTGCAAGGCTAAGATTAGTGAGAGTACAGGTGTGTCAATCCCACAAATCCACTCAAGACGATTGCAGGCCGGTCAGCATTCCCCGAGTCCCACAAGAGCGACACACAAAAACCTAACATGGTTTACCTGAAAGTGCCGTCCCCTTTTTAGTTGCTAATAACCCACCGGACACCATCCTGCCAAAAAAAACAAACAAACAAAAAAAAACCACTAAGTGTTTACAAATATTGGAAATATATTGAAAAATAAATCTGACGATATTGACCGAGAAACCTTGTCTGATTAACTATGGCAGCACAGAACATCTCTGGAGTGACCGAGTTTGCTTGTGATGTCTTAATTTGTGGATCTAATCAGTGACGCAATTGATCGATCGGCAAATTTTGACATTACAACCAATCACCGTTTTTACATAAAATGCAAAATACTTTCAGAGCCGATCCTACCGATCAGATCTGTGTGAAGTCTAGTGTTCAACATATTCGGGGGTCCTCAGTTTGTGACAGGCGACGTAAGCCAAATATTTTACATGTATTTTAAACAACCCTGTAAATTAAACACCCTGTGAGAGGTAAGGCACCTAATATTGATTGCAATGGAGTTTTTTTTTCTCAGTTGAGGATTATTAAACATGCCCATGAGCACTATGTCTTGCAGTTCTTGAGAAACAAACTGAACAGGAAGGTTAAAGCCACATGGATGTGGGACGCAAACCGTCTCATGTGTCGGGTTAATCCATCACCAGGCTGAAGAAGAAAAACTGATCTTTTTTTTTTAAATGTCCGGACTGGAGCAGAGAATGTGTGTGTGTGTGTGTGTGTGTGTATAAAAAACAATTAATCAGCAGACATGACCTGATTTGAAAACAAGCCAAAATAGGAAGTAGATGATGCCTCCTGGAACCCAGCTGAGTTGTCCTAGCTCCGATCACAACTTTTCCTAAACACCATAACAACCTTTTCCCGGGACACCGAGTGGCAGTCGTGGGGCCGGCTAAGGGTCACCGGGTCACCGGGCACGGTGTCAATGGGATTGCTGGATGCTCTCCGACACACAGCCTCCACTTCAACCCCATCGCCTGAAGCCATCGTCTTTGGGAAGCTGCCGCCGAGTATTGACATGACAAGGGTGTTTTCCCGACACGCTAGCGAGTCCAATCGCCATCCTTGAGGGTCAGATATCACAGCCCTTGCCACTGGAACTAATAGAGCACTTCCTGCATCCCCGCTTCTAAAGCAGCTGCTCCACGGGGCATATACGTATGTGCCTATGTTTGCAGGAAAAAAAAAAAAAAGGAGGACGTGGGTGGTGATTTTGATAGTGGGGGGTGATGTGTACATCAGCTCTTTTGTTAATAGGGGAGGTTTGTGGTGGTTTGCTTTTTTTTTTTTTTTGTGGGGAAGCTTTGCCTCAGGGAACGTGGCAAGAAAACTTCAACGTGAAAGAACAACAGTATACCTCTGCAGTCCAAAGAGAAGTTTACAAGACAGAGATGATAGTGGAACACTAAACAAAACTACTACCACAAAAATCAACATTTCTCAATCCATTTCAAAAGCAGTTGCTCCTCATTGGCATCACAGGTGAGTCGCAGCCAATCGCAACTGACATTTTTTGCAAGAAATTCCACCCAGGAATGGTCACCAGTCACATTTACATTCAGGCCGAACGACATTTTAGAGTCAGCTGAGATTTGGCGAGAGAGTCCAGGGACACTCTCGAGTGGCCGCCGGTCAATCAAATGACCAATTTAGACAAATGACAATTTATACTCGCAATCAACCTGTGGGCAACTTAAGACTCTTTAAGGAATCTAATATGTACGCTTTTGGATTGTGCGATGAAGTCCGAGAACCCGGAGAAAACCCATGCAGACTCGAAACATAACCGGACAGGGGATCTCTCGACTTTGAGGTAGACCAGCTAACCGCATGTGCACTGTTCCACCACTTGTAAGCATATGAACAACATAAATTAGTTTGCTGACAGTGGTAAACAAAAAGTGAAAGCAGATCCGACATCAATAGACAAGTGAAAATGGCAATCTTTGAACAAGACCTCCAATGAGGCCAATATTTGTATTGTAAATGACCAAATGTTTCGACAATTTGAGTTTGATTTCGATTTTGGAGATTTTCAAAAAAAGGATGGTTTTCTTCCCTTATTGTTTTTTTTTTTACTGTTGATGTTGTTATGAATAGTGGATGTTGGTCAAAATCTATCATGTTATTGGTCTTTTTTTCGGGGTATGCGACTGGGGCGAGAATGACTTTTTCACTTTTTGCCTCAACTGAAAGATCTCAAATCTACAAGGAGGGAATCAATGATACAAGCGCCGTTACTTCCTCCGAGTTGGATATTTGACGAAATACGTATTTTGTGTGAGTCATTCGGCCTGTCCTGCTTTTCGACACAACAACCGGTGCTGTCAGGAGGCTGACGCTGGCCAGTGAACCAGACAGGGGAGGGGGACTGGTTCGGCCGACAGTTCGTCGCTCCTATCTCCTTGCTCAACAGGGCCGGTGTGACGCTAGCCAGGTCCCTTCTGTGTTTTCCCAATCGAACCCGCACCCACTCGAGTGCCCCCCTTCCGCCCCCAACACAAACACACGACCTCCTTGATTCCATGCAAGTAACAACAACCTCAAATTCTCCGTGTTCCCGATATTGTGCTGGATCCGTGTAAAAACTCTGATAGGAGACCGTTGGGTTTGGGTGATGAATCAGGACATTTTTTTTTTAAAACTGAAAATAAAATTCCTTTGGCATCATACAAAAACCGGAGTTGTGTAACAGCTTGATGCATAAGATGCAAAGCCCGCTCCATGTCCATATGTCCTGGACACCACGCAACGGATGCGCATGTGTCTTTTCCCCTGGACTGCTTTCTTCAGCTCTGCTTGCCACGTGGAAAATCAAAGAGATGGCTATTTGGGAGGAAATGACAGCTGAGGGGGGGTCGAAGCGCTTTTATTTCTTTCTCACGTGACATCAATTGAGACTACAAGGTGAAGGGGTTTAATTTGGGGGGTGGGGGGGGCTTTGTGGAGGGGCAAATAAGGAGTTCGCAAGACATAACAAGTGAAGGGAGACCAAGTAAGTGTCAGTAAATGGAACCTCAGAATTCCAGTGCCTCTAACGTCATACATTTTTAGAATTTGAGGAACGTTTCATGGAAAATACAAGAGAGAGGAAGAGACTCTCCTCCCAGACACGGAGGATAATCTTCCTCGGAGCATCCGTCGCACAACACCAAATAGCAAGTATTTAATTTAGGACTCTATTGTGATTAAGTTGCATAATGGGTAACTTCTTTTTTTGTGTTTTATTTGAAGAAACTCGCCTCACAGGACAGGCAATCATTTCCTTGTCTGCCACACAGATTCCAAGAGTAAGTATTGAGTTGTGTTTGCGCTTTATGTGGAGACTCACCGCCCAGGCAAATGCAGAAATATCTGCCATCAAAATGTATTTATTTCAGTAAAATATTGTTTTCAAATGACAATAAATTGAAAAAGTACATCATTGATTTTTTTTTTTACGTTTCAATAACTTTTTTGTGTTCATTTAGTTGTTGTGTGTGAAGAGACATGCCCCGCAGACACAAGAAATAATCTCACAATGCGCATCTGTCCCAGATCAGGGTGACCTCTTTATTTTTTAATTTATTGTTTATTATTTGGACAATAGCGCAGGTAACTTCTTTGGTACAGGGGGAATTAGTTGTATTTTGTGTGACCAGAGACTCACCTCCCAGGCACAGGGTGGATATTTATCCTGAATTATTTTTACTCTTCTATGGCCGCGTGTTAACGTGTTACTTTACCACTACGGTCAATTATTAATTAATTTCGTTTACGGTCTCTTATGACTCGGGTTTTTTTTCTTTAGGAACAAAGCAGCCACCGGCAACAGATTGTGTTGCACTGTACATTAATTCCTCATTAGCTCAGCGGACAAGGATGGGGGGATAAATAGGACAGGATGAGGCAACACCATCTGCACAGTGAAGGGCAGCACAGGAGCACACACACAAAAACACTGACAGTAAAACACACACGCATGCACGCAACGCATTTGGAAGCCGTTTTGCTCCTACCGTCTCTCTAGTAGAGTCCACGCGTCCAAAGTCCTGCAGAGAAAGTCAAAAAGCTGCACTTGTGGCTTCTTTTTCTTCGCACTTATCCGCTGCTGTACGCCTCTCCCGCATGTGTCAAGCGTCTGTTTGCATTCCCAGAAATGTAAGAACGCAGATGGCACCCAGATGGATCGACACGCACACACATGCGTTCAATGCTGTGGTGCGTTCACGTCCCTTCTCCCTCTTCTCTGTGAGCCTTTTCGTCTCGACGTCCACTCGAGCGTGCGTCCTCCTCGGCGTGCGGATTCGCAGATTCTGAGCTTCCTCTCACCCGGCTCACAGCAGACCCTGCCTCTCGCGCCTTAAGCCCCCGCCCACAATTTCCCACAGGGCGTGACGTCACTACCCCCCCCCCCCCCACAGTGTGGCTCCTGGCCAAGGAAGCATCCAGTAGTGCCTTCATTGACTGAGATGGACCTCGCAATTAACATAACTAATTGCTTTGGCACCTAAAGGCCAAACAAGAAGCCGGGCCAAGGGTGACAAAAGCGTGAGCATCTGCATGCGTGTGATTGTGTGACCCCGCTCCCCCTTTTTTTTCCTCATTGATACCCTTTTTTTGTCTCAGCCCTTAATGCAGTCAACCTATTGTGTTGTCCTGAGGGTGGGGTCTCCTCGCCTCTTATCCTGCCCCTCGACCCCCGCGCAAGTTAACCTTAAATCGCTGGTTGATTTATGCACGCAAGGAGACAATGCAGGTGGAGATAAATAGCGGCCATTTAGGAGTCCCTCCCAAGACCCCCACTCTTTACTTTTGCAATTCAATGTGGATTAGTTTTGATGACACAGGCAACATGTGGAAGGCCTCTACAAACACTACAATATTCAATGATTTACTATTGTATTGTGTAATCATCAGACCAGAGAAATAGCCCACACCATACAGTGAAAAAGTCAAGGGAAACTATGAATAACTGTTGCATCGAACTAATCACCGCTTAAACAGTAGGGGACAATGAGGGTCCCCTTTATCCATCAATGCATACTGTACTTTATTCACTGTACTTCTCCCCAAATCTTATCCAAGTTGAAACCAAAAACAGTGCGCTGCAGCAACGTGGAGACAGAGTATGACACTGCCCAGTACATTCAAAATAAGCCTGCTGCTTTGAAAGCATCAATCGGTGCAAGATGCCAACAAATCACATGAAAGATAAATCTGAGGACAGTAAGAAAAATGGAATGCTGCAGCAAAGCGGAGACTGTGCAGTACAATGTTTCAGTGTCCATAACACTCAAACGTGAGGACGCAGGAGATTTAAAAACAAAACAAAACCAAAAAAAAAAATAAATAAAATCACGATCCCGAAAAACATAAACCCGAACAAGACAACAATGTGAGACTCCTTCACTTTTTTTTTTTTTTCTTGAAAGGCTTATTTTATCCACAGGAAACCGAGGGCTGTAAGAAAAATGGAAAGCTGGAGCAAAGTACTCAACTCGCCTGCTGCTTGTCCGCTCCCAAAGTTGAGGGATCGGTTTGGGGAAGAAACACATTTCACAAATGTCAGTTCCGATGGCAGTAAAAGGAAGCTTGTAGGGACCCCCGACCTAAACCCCATCATCCAACATCTTGGGGTTAAACTAGAACAGAGACAGCTGGTGAGCCACATTCCCATGGACACACACCACTTCCTGTTTAGTGTAACGACCAGGTGTCCCCATGAACTTGCAAGTACTGTATGACACACACACACCAGAAAACAGAATTTGTGTGAATAATCATCCGTAATAACCTGGCCTCGCCTCCTCTCCTTTATTCAGAGTGCATCTGGTCAGCCAGCAGGCTCATAGGCAGCGCCAGGTGGCGGCGAGGAGGAGGGAGGATGAGGGAGGCAGGGAGGGTGGCGGGAGACAACGAGGATGGACGGATGGGGGGGGGG